TGGGGGAGATATGGGTATGATAAGTAATAGGTAGTAGTCGTACATATACCATTGGAGCTTCTTTAACGTGCCATCAGACATGAAATGTGTCACATGTCTACAAAGCGCATATCACAATGTGAGGGTAAATGCACAAACAAGAAGGAGGGTGCTAGCACCTGTAGACACTTGCAACGGAGCTTTTACCCTTTAGGATTCATGTCACAAGTGTCACATAATGCATCCCTCATCTACCATGTCGTTCATTGCTACCAATTTATTTCTTCTTCGTATATACATATCTCAATATCACAAATGAATGAAGCGGGTAACAGTTGTGCATGGAACATTGAAACTTCTTCAATGTGCCAGGATATGAATGTATCGCGACATCTACAAAGCTCATATCCCAATGTTCAGATATATGCGTAGACAAGGCGGAGCGTCGGCATCGTCGACACTTGACAAAGAAGAGCTTTTGACCCTTCAGAATTTAACATCACAAAATTCGTACACCACATCCCCTACCTACCACATCATTTATCGCATCCATTTTGTTACTTCTTTCTATATAAGTAACATCGAATTGCGTATTGGCATAGATTTAAATGAATCATATCCTAGTTGTGTATAGAACATTGGAACTTCTTTAATGCATCATTAGATCAAGGAATGTGTCACAACGTCTACAAAGTTCATCAGGGTCAAAAAAACATCTACAAAGTTTATCAGGGTCAAAAAAACGTTTACAAAGTTCATCAAGGTCAAAAAAACGTCTACAAAGCTCACATCCCAATGTTAGGATATCTGTGCGGACAAGGGGGGGAGCGTCATGACCCATTGGCGCTTGCTAGAAGAGCTTTGACCCTTTGGGGTTCATCATCACAAGTGTCGAGTAACGCATCCCTCACCTACCACATCGTTTACTGCCCTAATTTGTTCTTGTCGCTATATACATGTTACCGCTCACAAATTGCCTAGTTTTAATGAATGAAATACAAGTTATGCATGGAACATTCGTACTCCTTCAATGCACCATCGGGGATGAACGCGCCACAGGTCTACAAAGCTCATTCCTAACGTTAGGATATAATGCGGGCGCGACAAAAGGGGGAGCGTCAGTATTGACGGGCACTTGCGAGAAGAGGTTTGACCCTTTAGACTTTAGCATGCATGACAAGTGTCGTATAACAAATCCCCCACGTATCACGTCATTAATTGCTCCCAATTTATTTTCTTGCTATATAAGTAAGTACCGTCGTATTGCAAATCGCAAGACACTCAAAAGTACTCACGTTTCAAAGAGAAGTAGTAGAAGGAAGAACAAGGAAGACCAAGGTCGATGGAGCCCATTCCTCTCATGACTCCCTACCAAATGGGCCCATTCGAGTTTTCTCACAGGTGAGTAACACGGCAAACTTCCCAAGCATCAATTCGCATCTGATTTGTCTCAACAACAAAAAAATCGCATCTGAAAGTAGCAGTGAACATCATGGAACCTGATCTCGTTAATTTCACTTCCTTCATTCAGGGTCGTGCTGGCGCCGATGACAAGATCGAGATCATACGGCAACTTCCCGCAGCCGCACGCCATTAGGTACTACACGCAGAGGGCCACGGAGGGTGGGCTCCTCATCTCGGAGGCCACGGGCGTGTCGGCCGACGCGCAGGGGATGAGCGCCATCCCGCACACCCCTGGGATCTGGACCAAGGATCAGGTCCAGGCATGGAGGCCCATCGTGGACGCCGTGCACGCCAAGGGCGCCACTTTCTTCTGCCAGATCTGGCACGTTGGGCGAGCATCCGACATGCGTAAGATTTCTGTTGTCGCTGTCCATTGCACTGTAGCTGCTGCTGTCAGTTTCTTTCTTTTTTTTGCGGTTGAACTGCTGCTGTCAGTAAAAAAAAGTTTAGCATGTTTTTTTTTATTTTGCGATGAAAAGTTTAGCATGTTCTCAGCTCTGATCTTCTGTCTGTATTGGCCGTCAGAGCAAGAACCCATCTCCAGCACCGATAAGCCGATAGAGAGGACTCCACAGAACTACTCCATGGACTTCTCCACCCCCAGGAGCCTAACCGAGGAAGAGATTCCCGATGTCGTCAATCAGTTCAGAATTGCTGCCCGAAATGCTCTTGAAGCCGGTAAGTTCGTTCGTTCGCTAATCCAATTCGCAGATGGTTTATGCTCCTGCTTGAGATCGAGGTTCTAATGCGGCATGCGTGCATGCAGGGTTCGACGGGGTGGAGCTGCACGCCGGGAACGGCTACCTGCTGGACCAGTTCATGAAAGACGGCGTGAACGACCGCGCCGACGGCTACGGGGGCAGCCTTGAGAACCGCTGCCGCTTCACCCTCGAGGTGGTGGACGCCGTGTCGAACCAGATCGGGCCCTACTGCGTCGGCGTGCGCCTCTCGCCCTACTCCGGCTGCCTCGGCTGCCGCGACTCGGACCCGGACGAGCTGGCCGTGTACATGGCCCGGGAGCTGAACCGCCGAGACATCCTGTACCTCAACGTGGTGGAGCCCGAGATGGCCTGGGAGTACGACGGCGGGGCGCTTGGGGTGGGCCATCACAGGCTGCAGGCGATGAGGGACACCTTCGACGGGACGCTGATGGTCGGCGGAGGGTACGGCAGGGAGGAGGGGAACTGCGCCATCGCCGAAGAGTACGCCGACCTTGTCGCCTACGGCCGCCTCTTCCTCGCCAACCCCGACCTGCCGGAGAGGTTCCGGCGGAACGCGCCACTGAACAAGTACAACCGGGCGACGTTCTACACCGACGATCCCGTCGTCGGGTACACAGACTACCCGTTTCTCGGCCAGACGTCCAAGGGGAATGGCGTGATATAGCAAAGATGCATGCATGATACCTAAGGAACTGTGTTGCCGTTCCCTCAGTGTGGCTTCTTCTTTTATTTCTACTGTAGTACCGTCGTATCAACTATCAAGAGAACAATTACCGTGCTTAATAAAAGGCAACACCAGTTTGGATGATTTTCGATGATTACACTCGCTTCTTTTACTGCCGTTGCGTCTTTTCTGCTTAGCTTTTTTTTTTTGTAAACTGACTTCTCTGCTTAGCTGATTTGCACAAGAGGGAAACATCTGTGGGATTTTTGTAGCAGATTTTTCTTAAAAAAATGGGGGGAATTAAGCGCGCACATATGCTTGTCCTTTACTCTTTTTTTAGGGGTGGCTGTCTTTTACGCCTTTTTTTAGTAACTCCTGTCTTTTAACGAAATCACTAGTTAAGTAGTACTCTTTGCGGAGATCACTCTAACTTTCCCAGGTTGCGACAAGTGGCGCAGTTTTTCCTTTTTCCGTAGATCCATTTATTCAAAACATTTTATCTCTTAACCCGTGCGTCCAAATCTCGAACCGTTTTCGTTGTTGGATTCCTCGCGTCGAGATCTTCAAAACTAGTAGATCCCATGTTCATAGCTTTTGACGAACTTTTTTTCACGAAAAAACCGACGAAAAAACCGAACCGGGACCACGGGTTTTTTTCCTTTTCCGAAAGAGGCACGCCCATGCCTCTGACGAAATCACAACCGTGCCTCTGACAGAAGCAAAACCGTGCCTCTCGCGAAAAAAAACAGAAAACACGTTTTTTTCCCTTTCCGAAAGAGGCACGCCCGTGCCTCTTGCGAAAGCACAACCGTGCCTCTCGCGGAAGCAAAACCGTGCCTCTCGCGAAAGAAAAAAAACAGGAAACACGTTTTTTTCCCTTTGAAAGCACAACCGTGCTTCTCGCGAAAGAAAAAATAACAGAAAACATGTTTTTTTTTCGTTTCCGAGGAGGCACTGCCGTGACTCTCGCGAAAGGAAAAAAACAAAAAGCACGTTTTTTTCGTGAAAAAGATGCGTTTTTTGTGCAAAAAAATTATTATTTTCGAATTTTTTTTGTCGAAAAGCTAGGAAAGACCGGTGGAAAACCAAAACGTCAAAAAACCCCGAAAAAAAACCGTTTAAAAAGTCAAAAACGCGTGCGAAAAAATAAAAAAAAATGAAATCCGGAGGAAGCGCCCAGAACACGATACGTGACGAATGGCTGAGAGCGCGTCAAGTGGTGCTGATCGTTGCGAGGCTCCCGAAGAAGCGCTTGTTAATTAGCTGCTCCCGTCTTTTAAGCCTTTTTTAAAGAGCATGTCTTTTACGTCTATGAGATAATCGAAGCCATGGCGGATGAGCGTGGTCGCCGCTTGGGCTTGCGCACGACAGCTTAGTGACATAACCTAGCCCGTGGGCCGTCACGCACGCCCTAGCTAAATGGTACTTCCTCCATCCGGAAATATTTGTCATCAAAATGAATAAAAGGGATGTATTTAGATGTATTTTAGTTTTAGATACATTCATTTTTGTCTATTTTAATGACAAGTATTTTTGGACGGAGGGAGTACTTCGATTAAAAGAAAGCTTTCCCTAAAAAAATCAAAAAAAGCTAAATGGTACTCTCTCCGTCCGGAAATACTTGTCCTATAAAATAGAAGTATCTATAACTAAAATAAGTCTAGATACATCATTTTTTAAGACAAGTCCTACAAATGAATAAAACAGTTGTATTTATAACCAAAATAAGTCTAGATACATCCATTTTTAGGACAAGTATTTCCGAACAAAGGGAGTACTTACACTACATGGTACTCACGCCTCTAAAAATGCTAAATGATACTCACCCCTCTCAAAGAAAAGCTAAATAGTCCTCCACTGGATCTGGATGACTGCAGCAGTGACCTCGAAGAAGTGTGTAGTACTCCCTCCGCCCCAAAATTTTTGTCTTAAATTTTTCTAGATACGGATGTACCTTATACTAAAACATGACTTGATACATTCATATTTGGACAAATCTAAGATAAGAATTTTAGGACCGATGGAATACGGTAGTTAAGTTTGTGGCCAGCTCTTCCTTCCTCGTGATCTTGCAAGCAAAACGTGCGTCCACAATCGGGGCAGGTTCATTGAACCAAGTTTTTTGAAAAGGATATGTCGCCGCGTCCAGAGTAGGAGTAGTACGTATTACTATGAAAAGTCTTCCTTCTGCACACTCGAGAGCAGTACGCCCGCCACAGCTTTCATCAACATAAAGGCTGGGAGGTGCCAAGGCCCCACCCCGACGAACGGGCGGAGGAAGGGCGGAAGGGGGCAAGGAACAGACCAAGGAAGATGAGCAACACTGCCAGCACCGCGCCCTCCTCACCCCCTACAAGATGGGAAGGTTTGATCTTTCCCACAGGTCCGTCTTTTCTTCTCCCGATCCCACTATCTCTTTCCTTGGTACGGAATACCCCAACCAGCCGCCGATTTTTGTTAGTAATCGCCCAATAATCGATTCTTTTAGGTCTTATACTTGGGGCGATTCCTGCAACAGGGAAACCATTCGGGTGCTAAAGCTGCCAACCGCACTAATTTTCTCAATAAAGAGGATTATTTAAATCCCGGGCATGGCTCGTGGAGGATCTTTTCTTGTTTGGATGCTGCTGCCCTGTTGCTGTTCATATCTTGTTTTACCATCAAGAACAGAATTTAGCCCCGGGTTTTAACCCCCAGGATAATTGAGGATGGAACCATCATGCTCAGGTCATATGCTGAAATCTATTATAGGGGTTGTTGCAAACAATGAAAATTAACATGCATTATGTATTTATTTATGCAAGAGAAGCCTCGACCCGAATTTTTGATGTTTCTGAATGAACTTGTCAGATGATATTGTCAACTCAAATCATCTGTTATTACAACCAAAGTTTTGATGTTTCTGAATGAACAAGTGAGATGATATTGTCAACCCAAATCATCTGTCATTACAGGACAGTCATTCATGAATAGACCCCAACTTTTAGGAGTTAATACCAATGAGTGTGCACCACTCAGTAAGTGTGGTCAACAGTCAAGTTTCGTCTGATGAATTTGCTGCGTGTCCCTGAATCTTTTTGGCTGTGCCTATGGACTTGTCCTGGAAAAGGAACCCGAAGAATTCTGTCACTCATCTTTACCTGATGATCCACTTGCCTGAGGTCTTTCCTTTTTTCTGTTTAGGGTAGTTCTTGCACCGCTGACAAGGGAGCGATCCTTCGGAAATGTTCCTCAGCCTCATGCCATACTATATTATCAACAGAGAGCAACCAAAGGAGGCCTTTTAATTGCTGAGGCCACTGGAGTTTCAGACACTGCTCAAGGGTGTGTACGACATATCCTTATGCTGTGGTTTTTTGACATCTTAGTAGTCATATGTTCAGTTTCCTCTTTGCAGTTGTATGACTTTTAAAGGTGATATGTTTCTTGTTACACTGTATGAATGCTAGGTACAAAGACACTCCTGGCATTTGGACAAAGGAGCAAGTAGAAGCATGGAAACCGATCGTGAATGGAGTTCATGCTAAAGGAGGAATATTTTTCTGTCAGATTTGGCATGTAGGAAGAGTCTCTAATCACAGTAAGTTTACCAACTCTAATATAAGGTTGTCTGACTTGTCATCAAACCAAATTTAAGCACAATTATGTCGCAAGCAATAATACCTCAAATGGATTTTAGATTTTTGGCTCAACTTTTTATGAACATTCTGTGCAATTATTTACCATTTTATTGCACCATGAGTTACCTCGTGTTTTTTCGTAAACAAAAATACATTAGCAACCCCATAGTTATCCTTGTAGCCATGCTTTTATTTCACTTACATATGTTCGTTATCTCTATGCAGCTTTTCAGCCTAATGGGCAGGCTCCAATTTCGAGCACTGATAAGCCACTCAAACCTGTAGCGAGAGCCAACGGCATAGATGCGCCTACAATCTCAACTCCTAGGCGGCTACAGACTAATGAGATTCCTTTGGTAATCAACGATTTTAGGGTTGCTGCTAGAAATGCAATTGAAGCCGGTAAGTACCTTTTGGTTGGTAATGAACCCCCCTTTGGTAATTGTTATCTCTCACATTTGTGCTCCAAATGTTATGCCAAAATTATATATCATACAAAGTAGAGACTTCTCATTCAACCAAATTAGTATCAAGAGAAAATTATCATACACTTTGTTCTCGTTAATGTTCTGTCTAGTGCCTAACAGACACTTACTGAATTCTTCGACATCGCCCTGACTGTTGAAGAAGAGGGATCTCTAACTTCAATGCCTTGTATGGTGTGTAGGATTTGATGGTGTTGAAATCCATGGAGCTCATGGTTATTTGATTGATCAGTTCTTAAAGGACCAAGTCAATGATCGCACTGACAAATATGGTGGGAGCTTAGAGAATCGCTGCCGGTTTGCACTGGAAGTAGTTCAAGCCGTAGTTGATGAAGTTGGAGCTGATAAGGTTGGGATAAGGCTCTCACCGTTTGCGAACTATTCAGAGGCATCCGACTCAAACCCAGAAGCTCTAGGCCTATACATGGCACATGCACTGAACAAATTTGGAGTTCTCTATTGTCACATGGTGGAACCACGGATGGTGAATATTGGTGAAAAGTTTGTAACTCCCCATAGTCTTCGCCCCATAAGGGATGCTTTTAAGGGAACATTTATTGTAGCTGGGGGATACGACAGGGATGATGGAAATAAAGCAATCGCCGACGGCTATGCTGATTTGGTAGCATATGGGCGCTTGTTTCTATCCAATCCTGACTTGCCTCGGAGGTTTGAAATAGGTGCTCCTCTCAACAAGTACATAAGAGATACTTTCTACCTCTCTGATCCAGTTATTGGATACACTGACTACCCATTTCTGCCGTCCAATGTCTAGATGGGCCTTTCAGGAATATTCATGTATCAGTACTATGTTAAAAAGGAATAAGGTCATTGATTTCAATGCTCATGTGTATTAGCACGGTATGGATAAAATATGTAATCATTATTGCAATTTAAGAAGCGCAAACTGAAAAGCAAATTAAGAAGTCTGATTTCTTGCCAATCCCACACACTCAATACTTAAATTGGTGCAACAGAAATTCCTGATTATGCAGGAAACTGGAAAAAATGCTATTAGGTTACCTTGTGAATCCAGCATAATCATTAGAACTTTGGCTTTGGCATGTTCCCATTAAAAACACGTCATTCTTGTAAATACCTTGGTTTCTCTTCTCTCTTAATGAAAAGGCAGCGCTCCTGCAGGTTGCTCGCAAAAAAAATAAAAATTCAGCAGAACTATGATTTTTTGCACCTAGCCCAATACACTCAATAGCTAAATTGGTGCAACAGAAAACTTCAGTTGTTGTTTAATTTAGAACTTAGCAAGATTTTCAGGATTTAAACGCTTTAAGTGGTTAGATCTAAATTTCACTATTCTCAGTTAAATGTAAATCTTCAGTTTCTGTTCTAATCTGACAAAGTTGAACCTTGGTCTCCTTCAAATTCTTTAAGTGAAAAAAGAGAAGATTATCTACTAGACTCTCAAGCTTATCGTAAAAGTAATTGTGCAATCATGTTTTGGAATGACTATCCCTGATATTACCTGACATTGTCTCAAGTAAATATCAGGCTCACAGATTAGAGAATCTTATTCTGAGCTTTAATTGTTGATATCGCCACCTACAGAATAGTGAAAAGCAGCATTATTAGTACGTATATAAAAATGAAAGCTATGTAATGGCCAATACTTGTGATTCCTTTGGCATCACAGACATGTTAGAAATCTTCCTTTGGAACTTTATCGCCTGTGTTGATTTTTTTTAATGTAGTTTTAATATCTAGCCTACCCCAACTTGTTTGGGATAAAAGGCTTCGTAAGTAAGTAAGTAGTTTTAATAGAATTATAGCTGTCACATTCATTTTGTGGATGATGTATCATGTTCAAGGAAGAGCTTTCAATACCCTTCTGTATCAAAAGTGAGGTTCAGGTGCACTAAAGCACACAATCTTATTGGTGATTTGTTTATTCATGAACAAATCTTAGTTATTCTCTTCAGAGGCCTGTTATTTAGTGCAAATTTATGGTTTTGTTAGTGAAGACTAATATTAGGTGCCTGACGGCTGTAATAGTTTTCAGGGAGATTGCTAGATCAACACGAATTTCGGCTATGCCTTTTACGGTTTTCTTTTATGTAAAGAAATTTCTTAAGATCAGGCAACCAAGACTTCTCTTCTCTCTCACAAAGTAAAGAATGCAAGTAATGTTATTATTTATGAAAGATTAAAAAATATCTAGCTTGAAGATTCTGCCAGTTTTTGCTAAATCAAATTGTTTTCTCAACTGATATAAGGAGGCAACTGCAATATTTGAAAATCTTATCAAACTAGTGATAGGAATTCCGGAATGAACTTTCTGCAACAGAGAGCTGAAAACTTAGCAACTGTTTGCTTTTTTTTATATCTAAATATGTAGCAATCATGGTACAAGTGAACAGGCATGCCTAAAAAATACATTTTCATTGAGAAGTAATAGAATATGAACTTGTGAAGGTCGATATTGTGCAAAGTTACAGTATCTTGGTAAGACACAACAAAGGAACATCGCTAGGCTTATGTTGAAATTTGAACTATTGTGCCTGGTGGCACCTTTCTTTTTCAACACTTCAATTGAAAGGAAGCGGCTAGTTGACACTCTTTCCTACCTGATACCTATCAACATAGCCACATCGGATTGTGCCTCTTCAGTGGATGGTATAACCTAAAGAACATTCGCTAGACTCGAAAAAAGCGACAAGCAAAAAATCATCAGCTTTGCATTTGTTCCTTTGTTGGGGAATAATTATTCTCTACTCCTTTTATTTTTTATATGTTGTTACATTATAATTATCTCTGGTCTATATCTATGGCATGATCTAATGAATTAGTTTGGATAATGGCAGAGTCACCCTTCTACCTTGTATATTATCTGTTTATTGATTTGAGTATTCTATGAAATTCCATGTCGTAAAAAAAATCATAACGTGTAGGATTCATGTGCTTGGTTCACCACTGCTTCTTCATCCCTCATATGTAAGTGATGCATGAAACCTATCTATTTCCGAAAATGCTGTGTCTCGTACTGTTACAACTTGTCTTAACATGTACTCAAAGGGCACCTTCCTTGCTAAGCAAAACATGTTTTCATAAGATGTACCTATTTTGGCCAGGGAATAGATCTAATCAACACAGCAGTTGATGATAAAGGAAGATACTTCATTTTGGAGAACCGATTCGGGTTCAGTTGGCTAATGGTGTCACACCGAGCCCACCCACATTCGACTCTCACCTCCGTGGATGCTCATATTTTGAAATGCACACAAATGCATTTTAGGTTCTTAACTAAAGTTATTGATTTCATTGGACTTCCCGAGATTTGATGAATGATAGATAGATAACAATATACTGCACTGTTGTGCCTCTGTAATGTGACTGACCACCTTGACTTTGACAAATACTTGAGGATAACTGGTCTGGAATCTGGATCTAAAGCCATTTTAAAGTGTTCATGAAAGGGGTGGTCCTGGTGAACTGTCATCATGATTGGGCTCATATGAGCTAGTCATCATAACTTTGGTCAATTAAGTTTTCGCTCCAGTTGTGCATGTATAAATATGTTATTTGTGCCTACTGCAAGCTTCTTGCTTTATTCTTCTCGTATTTGCTACTTCTGGAGTGGCAGACATGACATGTTTGGATCTACTAAGTGCACTAAGCAACCTCTTCTCAACTGAACATAATGGTACAAGAACCAGTTAACTGTGATTAGATTATCAGCAGGTACTTTTTATTGGACATTATTTTCAATAGTTCCAAGTAAACTTGCAGATAGGATGGAGTACCAGACTCTTTTGGTTGGTGCTGGAATTCTATAAAAGACGGAGTCATGAAAACCAAGTGAACAAAACAAAATAGATTGCATGACACTTAACAGTAAAACATGTAGTGTTGGCTTCACACTTTGAATTGTACGGCACACATTTCTTTTAAAACTCTTTAGAGGATTGTAGAATATATCGCGTGTCATTCCTATTTTTTTATCATTCTTTAGTCAGATGGCGGCATAGTGAATATGAGCGTACAAGAAAGGAAATTGTAGAATACTAGAGTTTAAAATGTTATTCTGACCTTTCAAACTAGAACAAAGTCTTAACAGTGTAAAGTGTAAATGCCTTTACATCAGACATATTCCTCACTAATATACATTGTAATCATGGGCCACTTGATTATCTAGCATGGGGCAGTACAAGCAATATGGATTTTATACATTACAAGGAATTCAATACACTTTGAACAAGCTGTAACATATGCCCTTGTACAAGGTAGCTATTTAGGCTACTTTGTGAATTGCAACAGCTATGTGTTGTTTGACTCTTCCACAACCTGCAAGGACTGGCCTACCAATTATTCCTTGTCCTCAGGAGCCACAATAAAATGCTCACATCCATGACAGGTCTAAATCACCATTTGCCTCAAGTGCGAGAGGAGGATCCAGAGTCCAGTTGCAACAACCTCAGAAGCTAGTCCAAACTAGTGAGAGGTTGTGTGCACAAACCAGAAGGTAGACTGAAGAATAGTAATGGCTCGTGGTAAGGTTCAGATGAGAAGGATAGAAAACCCAGTGCACAGGCAGGTCACCTTCTGCAAGCGGCGAATGGGCCTCCTGAAGAAGGCAAAGGAGTTGTCTGTTTTATGTGATGCTGATATCGGTGTCATGGTGTTTTCTCCTCATGGAAAGGTTTATGAGCTAGCTACCAACGGGTATGCATCTCTCTCTTGTTAAGTGATTTAAAGCCAACTCCAGAAAATATATATGTTTTAATTTGTTCATATGTTTTATGTCTGAGATGTATTAGGAACATGCAAGGCTTAATTGAGAGGTACAAGGGTAGCAACACAGAAGCACATGGTGAAAGTAGCGAGCAGAACAAACCTGAGGTCAGGATCACATGGTTTATCACATAATGACAATTGAAAAATAGCACTGCAAAGCTATGCATTCGAAATACATTAGTTGTATTAAATACTGCATGGTCATTTAGTAAGAGACCTTTGGTTTGGCGCACTGCCCATGATTTGTTCATCAGCGCGCATCAATCTTGAGTTACATTATATTTTACATAATTACTACTCCCTCCGTCCGAAAATACTTGTCATCACTCCCTCCGTCCGAAAATACTTGTCATTATATTTTATCCATTTTGATGACAAGTATTTTCGGACGGAGGGAGTAATATGCAAAGTTACTTCTACATCTAATTCTATTGAGGTGCTGGCATTCCTCTCTCATTGCAGGTAATACAGCAAGAGGTACTACTCTTAAGGCAAGAAATTGACTTGCTTCAAAAGGGCTTAAGGTAATCAGCTGTGTTATATTTATATGTAAATGGTGAAGCAATTTCATGTCTTCTGTCTGAGCAACTGGCACAACTTTGTTAACTTATGCTTGAATGACGACATACTTACCCTTTGTGCTATGCCAATTAGGAAGAGTCCATTAAAAAGGACAATTATCTTTCGTGATACACCAACAGTTTACTATTGGCATCAAATTATTAGTTTTTTAAGAGGTGTTATAAAATATAATAAATTGAGAAGTAGTAGCACATGGCTTGGCAATACAGGCTGATGCTCCATATTAAACTGGCAAGATTCCATTAGAAAGGTTTGAAATATTATGAAGGTGTAACATACAAGTATAGTATTGAGCACAATACTGATTGATAAAAGTAAGCACATCCATGCAGGTACATGTATGGAGAGAATGATATAAACCACATGAATCTCAATGAGCTGCAAACCCTGGAGAGTAACCTTGAAATTTGGGTACACAATATCCGCTATACAAAAGTAAGCTAT